ATCCACAGGCACTTACGTCGACGCAGTTCCCCCGCCTGGGGCAACCTTTGTCGATGACATGTGGATCTACAGGGTGAAGCGCGCACCAGGAGAGCCGCCGAAGTTCAAGGCGCGTTACGAGGCTACAAGCTTCAGTCAGCGTGACGGTGTGGACTTCTTCCAGACCTTCTCTCCGACCCCGAAGATGACTACTCTTCGGGTCCTTCTTCACATAGCCGCGCAGCGTGACTACAAGCTTCACTCACTCGACTTCTCCACAGCGTTCCTGCAAGAGTCTGCACGAGCAGATCTACCTCCGGCGCCCTCTAGGCTTCTCTGGGTCCTTCCCACCTGGGACCGAGTGGAGCCTGTGCTGTCCTGTCTACGGCCTTCAGCAGGCACCCCGTGAGTGGCACAACACGCTTCACACGACTCTTGTTGAGCTACAGTTCTTTCCGTCCTCTGCTGACTTCTCTCTCTTTGTGCGCACGGGTCAGATACCGTTCTACATTCTAGTATACGTAGACAATCTCATCTTTGCTACTCTTGACAGAGTGGCAGTGGCCTCAGTGAAGGCCGAGTTACTTAGGAGACACACCTGTACAGACTTGGGGGAGCTGAGGCGCTATCTAGGCTTGGAAAACTCTCGTGACCATGCTGCTCGCACGATCACACTCTCCCAGTCCCATATGGTGCAGCAGATCCTCTAGAGGTTCAGCCTCTAGTTCTCCTCAGCACAGCCCACCCCTCTGCTTGTGGATCACAAGCTCTTTGTTCCTGTTCCGGCTGAGCCGGTCGAGGCTAGTGGTCCATACGCAGAGCTGGTGGGGTGTCTTATGTACCTGATGACCTGCACTTGACCAGATCTAGTGTACCCTCTCAGTCTCTTGGCTTGCTTTTGTTGCGACAGGCAGGCACCGACTAGTCCACTGGTTAGCTGCCAAGAGGGTACTGCAGTATCTGGCGAGTACATCAGGAAAGGGGCTTGTGCTAGGAGGACGGGGGCCAGTGGTGCTCACTGGACATACAGACACGTTGTGGGCTGCTAACATGGAGACGCTCAGGTCGTCTCAAGGCTACTGTTTTTTACTTGGTGCTGGTGCAGTCTCTTGGAGGTCCACCAAATCGTCGTCTCTAACTCATTCCATTTGTGAGGCAAAGATCTACGCTGGGGCTATGGCCGCTCAAGAGCTCCGCTGGCTGACGTTCTTGCTCACTGGCTTAGGTGAGCAGCCTAGGTCTGCCCCGGTCCAATTTGCTGACAACAGGGCCATGATCCTTCTGTGTCAGGAGGCTTGACTTGAGGGCAGGGTGACTCTAGTTCTTAGTGAGTACAGCCCTAGTGTTGTATCCCTCGATATTTGGTATGCCGCATAATGTCTTTGCACCAGGGCCTCAGAAGTCAGGCCAAAAAGGCCTAAAATCCTGTATATTAGGGTGTTTTCTAGGGTATACCCTAGGCCCTCAGATTTCAGGCAAATTGCCCTGATTCAGGGTTTTTTTCTGAGGTTTCTTTTTTTATCAACCCTGATGCGCTATGAATTTTTTTTAGACACAACCCTAAAATTTCAGGGTTTTTTTATGGCTGAACTCTGTTTCTACAGTGTTTCTATTGTAGTGGACCATGTAGCCTCTGTAACAGCATGATTGCCCTGCCATAATAACCGCATGTTTCCCCTGCTCGATGTCTGCTAGGGGGTTGTATGAGGGGGCACTTGGCCCTTCGCCAAATTTAGGGCTTGCGTGTGCTGGGGGATGTGTGAGGGGACTTTTTGGCCCTTCGCCAAATTTAGGGCTAGCGTGTGTTGGGGCATGTGTGAGAGGAATTGGCCCTTAGTCGAATTCAGGGCCCAATTAGCGCCTTGGAGCGTTGTGTGAGGGCAATATTTCCTCCTCCCGTTCCTGCGATCTTGCTGCAACCTTGGATCGATCGGCGAAATTTGATTGGCCGAGGCTTCCTGCAGAAATTCGCCGTAAGTTTTGACGGCCTCAGCAATATCATGCTTCCCACGGGAATCCTCCCTCCCTCATTTCTCCCCCCCCTCCCCCCCACTCTGCCCCGTCCCTGCCCTCCCCGAGTTTCGTTCCGCCCATCTCCCAATTCGGTAAAATCGGCATGATGTTCTCAAGTAACCCTGATTACTCAGTGGTTTTTGTTTTTTTGGAGCCCTGAAAAATCAGGCTAAACATGAGGGGGGGGGGCCCTGAGCAATCAGGGTACCTTGAAACCAATCTGAGGCCCTGGTATACCCTAAAAAACATGCCACGCCCAAAACCCGACCCTGAAAAACATGGGTTCTCACATGGGCGACCCTGAGCAATCAGCCTCCCTAAAACCAATCTGAGTGCCTATTTGTTGAAAGGAGTTAGGCCTAGAAGCTAGCTAGGCATGAGAAATGTCGAGAGGTTTTAGCTAGGGAGAAAATTGACGAGAGAAAAGAGGGTTGGACTAGAGTGTTGTACACTCTACAGTAGGATCCAGTATTATAGCACACCTAACCTACCAAGCCTACACAACTATATATAAATAATATACATAAGTTGACACACCCCTATAGGCTTGGTAGGCGCTAGCACACCACATACGCAACACCCCCAAACCCTTGCACCCCAATGTCCTGCAGCAGCTGTGGCGTCTACCAGCGGGTCGACCCCTCAGCAATCGAGGTGGCGACGTCAGCGGCGGCGGCGGCGTCGGCGACTGTAGCGGCGACGGCGGCGGCGGCAGGGTCTGCAGCACCTGCGGCGGTGGCGGCGTTCGAGGCACCCGGCGGCGTGGCACACACTGTGACGACGGGGGGGAGGACGGTACGAGACCTCCAGCAGTTGCGGCGGGGAGGAGGGGGAAATGGAGAGGAGGGGGGCGAGTCTTGAGCGAGGTGTCGTGGTTGGCGCGGCGCTGGCTGGCGGGCGAGCGAGCTGGCCGGCGCTAAAACCGTGCGCTGGCCGCGGCCGTCCGTGCGCTGGCGCCTCGAAGCCGCCACGGCAGCACGACGAGGTTGGGCTTGGTAGATGTGCTAATTTGTTGGATTCTACTGTAGAAGGGACAACCCCCCCCCTTCTTCTATCTCCTCTTTCCTAGTCAACCCCTTTTCTCTCGTAACTTTCTCCTAGCACCGAAACCAGGGCTGACTTTATCAGACTATTTACTCTGATTAGTCTGAAATCTCAGACCTGTTTTTTGGCCAAACCTGAATTTCCAGATAAGGCATTTTCCCAATCCTGATCCCTTCAGAGTACGATTCTAGGGATCCTGAGAAAATCAGACTTGTCGCTAACCCAGTACTGAGTTTTCAGAGCACAGAGCGTACAGACCCTGACTCATTACCTGTATAGTACCAACATTCGGAAAATTTGGTGAAGTCCCCAATCGCTAGAGACATGCCCCACACACCCCACAACTCCTAAAAAATTTTGGCCAAGTCCCCGAACCCTAGAGACAACCCCCACCCCACACCCCACAACCCATCTAAAATTTCGGCGAAGTCCCGGAACACTAGAGACATCCCCCACACACCCCACAACCCACCCTAAATTTCGACTAAGTCATGTTGTCATTGTCAGATACTGTCCTCCCTAACACCTGGAACAACCCAGAAGTTTTGAATGAGACTTTCACATTTTTTTTTAACTGCATTGGAATGAGAGTAAATTCCGCATTTTTAATATAGGGAAATTCTCGCCAGTTGCCCGTTTGGTCTACTGAAAGTCTACCAAAATGTAACGGTCACAATCGTTTGCGATCGTTTCGACATATATCAATCGTTCGATGTTATGTTGTGATTGACATCCAAGATTTCCCCACCGGGGCGCTGCAAGGGCGCGAAATTTCTCCCACCGTCCTATTCCCCAGCTTCCCCCCTCCCTGCCGTTTCGATTCCCCCCCCTCCCCTCTGTTTCAATCACTTCCCCCTTCCTCTCCGTTTCGCTTCCCCCATCCTCTCCGTTTCGACCGCCCCCCCCCTTCCCCCCCCCCCCTTCGTTTCGCTTCCCCCCTCCCCTCCATTTTGATTCCCTCCCCATTTCCCCGTCAGTTTCGATTCCCCCTCTCCTCAGTTTCGTTTTCCGTGGCAGTGCGATTTTACCCCCTCGGTTTTTAGGAATGACTTCCCCGTTTCCCACATTTAACAACTACGCAAAACGAGGGTATGACAAGGTTGCTGGTTGGGGGGGGGCGCGGGCTGTGGGAGGATTTTTTATGGCTGCAAAGGACTTAGCCGAATTTTTGGGAGGTGTAGGAGGGAGGGAAGTTTCTCGCTGTGGGGGTGTTTCCCATGTGTGACTCTGGTTGTACGTCCTGGACCCTGAAAAAATCAGACTCGCTGAGTTCTGGACCCTGACATTTCAGACTACAAAAATTTCGGCTGAAGGCCCTTCAGACTTTTTTTTTTTGGGGGGGGGTTGGCTCAGAGTGCCTTTTTTTGAAACGTCAGCCCAGACCGAAACCCTTACGCCATTTCCATGGCTTCTCTCCTAACCTAGCTTCTGAACACTTCCTGCTCTGATGCCTAGAAGCTATCTAGGCATGAGAAATGTCGAGAGGTTTTAGCTAGGGAGAAAAGTGACGAGAGAAAAGAGGGTTGGACCAGAAGAGAGAGGGACACAAGAAAGGTATTGTACCCTCTACAGTAGGATCCAGTATTGTAGCACACCTAACCTTCCAAGCCTACACAACAATGTATAAATAATATATAATATATGTTGATACTGCTTTGTACTGCTAAGTTTGTCAAGGTGACCATGATTTATTATGCCAGTCTCATTTAGGTGTACATACATTTGGTTCATAGGTAGTGAAGAAGCCCAAGCGATTTCTTTGAGCATTCTCCAACAATAAGTTGTGCAACCAGAAAATCGTAGCGAACCTAGAACAAGATATGGAAAGTTGTGCTTGAAGTTAGGACTGATTCTGCATGGATTTATGTTAATACCATATCGAGATATACACGGTGTCTTCGCTTTGAACTTTAGCCGTTTTCGAGCTCCCCTGATTGCTTTTCCATCGAGATTCCCATTTTCGCATGATAGAACCATAGGAGACGGAGTGAAGTCCACAAGTCACGCGATCTATCAGCAGCCTTCCGACTCAGTGCTCCGCAGCTGCTGTCGACCCTTTCTCTCTCTCCGCGGCTCGTGCTGTCCCAGGGTTCCGGCCATGGCGGCTTTTGACGAGGACGATATCTTTGACGATGACGGCGGAATCGGCGACGAGCTCGCTTTTATGAGCGCGGACGATATTATTCGGCGATCCAGACTGCTCGATAACGAGATTCGCGTCCTTAAGGTAGGATAAGCGATTCGGCATCGGCTACTATTCTTTTATCTATGGAATTTGCCAGTACAGATCTGTGCGGAGTCGGTATCCGAAATGTTAGCATCGGGATTGCGGTTCAAGCAATATAGTGTCCGTAGCATCGCTGTTTAGTGTTCAATCGTTTCCAGATCTCGAATTCGTAATCCAAGGCAGCCGTTCAGCTGTCCGTATCAAGTCAGTCTCCACGACCGCACTCTACGCTGCTGCATGCTTAGCCTGAGCGCTATCCTGTGACTGGCACTACGAATCACTTGTTTTTGTGAACTTGCCTTGGAATTTCGTCCAGCTGAGCACCCACCGGCCTAATTCCCCGCGTTAACCACTGAAACTGGTCTTTTCCGCGAATTTGAGATTTCTCAATTTTATTACTCCCTTCCTGCCGTGGACCGTGCACTTGGTTCGGAGTTTGGTCCAGCTGTGTTCCTAGTCTATGTATCTATTTTGAAATATTTTCCTGCCTGTCGTTGCACTGCTCTCTCTCCCACTTTCTCTCCTCCCGATCAAACCAGGACGAGTCTCAGCGCGTGCATCGTTTTGAATCGACTCAAACCGAAACTACTTACACACGGGTTGCACTGCTCTCTCTCCCACCTTCTCTCCTCCCGATCAAATCAGGACGAGTCTCAGCGCGTGCATCTAGAGCACGAGTCGATGAAGGAGAAGATCAAGGAGAACCAGGAGAAGATTAAACTCAACAAGCAGCTGCCGTACCTTGTTGGGAATGTCGTTGAGGTGAGCCTTGCAGTTCGTTAAGAGCATGTCTCGATAAGAGTTCGAGTTGATGGAGGAGAAGATCAAACTCAACAAGCGCTGCCGTACCTTGTGACCAATGCTGCTGAGGTGAGCCTTGCAGTTCGTTGCCTGGTTGTTGGCATCGGTGTTGAGGTGATCGTTCTCCAGCTCACAGAAGCCTGCATCGCACTGGTCTATATTTTGCCTCTTTACAAGAGCATGCTGCCACATCGTTCTATTCGACCCTCTAGGAACTTCGCTGCTTGGAGGTCTGCAAGTGGCTATAGCAATCGCGAAGGCACCTAAGCTTCCCTCTCGACAAGGAGAGCCGGAGGACGGGACGAATTTGTCCGGAACTAGCTGGATTCGAAGCACTCAGCCCTTCTTTCCGCTATTCCTCCCCCCCCCCTCTCCCTCCCACTTCCGCCCCGGCCCCCTTCAGGTCCTGGACGTGAATCCGGAGGACGAAACCCCTGAGAATCCGGACCTGGACTCGCTGCGCAAGGGGCAAGTGCGTGGTGCTCAAATCCTCCACCCGCGAGAGGTCTTCCTGGCCGTGGTGGGGCTGGTGGACGCGGACGCCCTCAAGCCTCCACTCCTGCACTTCTTCCCCTCGCTCCCCCCACGGCCCCTTCTCCCACTCCCCCTCCCCTCCCTCTCCCCTCCCTCTCCCCTCCCTCTCCCCTCCCTCTCCCCTCTTTCTCTCCTCCCTCCCCCTTCAGGTCCTGGACGTGAATCTCGAGGACGAGACCCCCGAGGACGGGGCAAACTTGGACCTGGACTCCCTGCGCAAGGGCAAGTGCGTGGTGCTCAAAACCTCGACCGGCCAGACCATCTTCCTGCCCGTGTTGGGGCTGGTGGACGCGGACGCGCTCAAGCCTCCACTCCTGCTCTTCTTCCCCCTCCCGCCCCCCACGGCCCCTTCTGCCGCCTCCCTCTCCCCTCCCTCCCCTTCAGGTCTTGGACGTTAACCCTGAGGACGAGACCCCGGAGGACGGCGCGAATCTAGATCTCGACTCCCTGCGCAAGGGCAAGTGCGTGGTGCTCAAAACGTCCACGCGCCAGACGATCTTCCTGCCCGTGGTGGGGCTGGTGGATGCGGACGCGCTGAAGCCCGGGGACCTGGTGGGCGTGAACAAGGACAGCTACCTTATCCTTGACACGCTGCCCGCCGAGTATGACTCGCGCGTCAAGGCCATGGAGGTGGACGAGAAGCCCACAGAGGACTACAGCGACATTGGCGGGCTGGACAAGCAGGTAGATGGGGCTCTGGGGCTTCTGTCATGGGTCTGGTGTAGGGTAGGATTGGTGCAGTGGGTGCGCGGGCTTTGGGGTTGGAAGCCGGGCGACCTGGTGGGCGTGAACAAGGACAGCTACCTCATCCTCGACACGCTGCCTGCCGAATATGACTCGCGCGTCAAGGCCATGGAGGTGGACGAGAAACCCACAGAGGACTACAGCGACATTGGCGGGCTGGATAAGCAGGTAGAGAGGGTTCTGGGGCTGGTGTTCTGGGGGGTTGGTGTGGTCGGGTTGGTGCGGTGGGTGTGCCCGTGTTGTCCCTCCCTCTGCTTACCTGCCTGTTGTACCCGGGCACAGCTTCACGAGCTGGTGGAGGCGGTGGTGCTCCCGATGACTCACAAGGAGCGGATCGCCTCGCTGGGCGTTAAGCCGCCCAAGGGAGTGCTGCAGTACGGCCCTCCCAGCCAACCTGTCTTCCGTCCCCTTTCTTATCCCCCCTCTCTCCCTGTGCCCCGTGCGCAGATCCAAGAGCTAGTGGAAGCGGTGGTGCTGCCCATGACTCACAAGGAGCGGTTTGCCTCGTTAGGCATCAAGCCCCCCAAGGGAGTGCTGCTGTACGGGCCTCCTGGCACTGGGAAGACTCTCATTGCCAGGGCGTGTGCTGCTCAGACCAACGCAACTTTCCTCAAACTGGCAGGGCCGCAGCTAGTGCAGGTGAGGTGGGATTGATTGTATGGGTAGTGCAGCTATACGCCTCCGCTTGGACCATGTCACTGTGATCGTTCGGAGGGTTGGCGTCCTTTCTGTGTCTTGTCCCGATCCTCTCTCTCCTGTGCCTCCCTTGCAAATTTACCAACGCCAACAGATTTTGTAAGCGAGACAGTTCCCAGCTAGTGAGGGGTGCGTTCTGAGTGGAAAACATCATCTTTCGTTTTACCTCCCCACCTCGGTACCTCCCTTCGTCCCTCCCTACCTTCCCCTCCTCCCGTCTCCTCCCCCCTCCCAGATGTTCATAGGAGACGGTGCCAAGCTAGTGCGGGATGCATTCCAGCTGGCCAAGGAGAAGTCGCCCTGCATCATCTTCATCGACGAGATCGACGCCATCGGCACCAAGCGCTTCGACAGGTGCGTTTCGACGTGTGTGTTTCGAGTGGGTGAACAAGCATGCTTTGAGCTGTCTGTAAGTCAGGCGTGCAGTTCCTGACTGTCTGTTAGCTGGCCAAGGAGAAGTCGCCCTGCATCTTCTTCATCGACGAGATCAATGCTATTGGCACCAAGCGCTTCGACAGGTGGGCACCGTGTGATGGGTGAGGTGTGCTTTGAATGACAGACAGGTGTGCACCAGAGCCCCTGTCAGCTGGCCAAGGAGCAGTCGCCCTGCATCGTCTTCGTAGATGACAGTGCCTTGTGAAGTGCTGTTGGACGAGATGCAATACGTGTGTATTTTCTGGTCCGCTGCTCCCCACTCTTCACTCTTCAACATTCTTCTTTCTTTCCTGCTTTCATCAATCTGTTCCTCCTTGTCTTTCACTTTTTATCTACCATCTGCCCTCCCCTTATATTCGTGCTGGCAGTGAAGTGAGCGGCGATCGTGAGGTGCAGCGCACGATGCTGGAGCTCTTGAGATGCCATGATAGCCCTCACATGTGCCCCCTCCCTTCCCTTGCACCATCAACACTGGCAGTGAAGTGAGCGGCGATCGTGAGGTGCAACGAACCATGCTGGAGCTCTTGAGTCAGCTGGATGGCTTCAGCAGCGACGACCGAATCAAGGTGAGAATTGGTCCAATTCTGTTCTCCCTTCCTCACGTGCAAATTTCCATCGGGCACCCAGATTTAGTTTCGTCAGTCTCAATCCCTCTCACCCCTCTTCCATCTCAACCTCCCTGCTTGCAGGTGGTGGCAGCCACCAACCGAGCTGACATTCTAGATCCGGCTCTCATGCGGTCGGGCCGGCTGGACAGGAAGATCGAGTTCCCACACCCTACAGAGGAGGCTCGTGCTCGTATTCTGCAGGTGAGAGGCGTTCTGCAGGTGAGAGGCGTTCTGCAGGTGAGGCAGCGTGTGCTGACCTTGGACACAGTAAGGGGGCGACTGAGCAGGAAGATTGAGCTCCTGCACCCCTCTGAGGACGCCGGGGCTCGCATTCTGCACGCAGGGGCTTGCTGCCGGTTGCATTCCACAGAGCTGAATCCGTGCACAGAATGAGAGGTTGAAAGATGCCCGCACATGACTTTTACACTCGCATGCTCCTTGTACTCTTCTTCTCTCCCCCTGGCTTAGGCAAGGGTGAGTCCAAGTAGCATGCGCGTTTCAAACACTTTTCCTCCACCGTTTCTGCCTCTGCTTTCCTCTCTGTTTTTCCTTGCAGATCCATTCGCGGAAGATGAACGTACACCCGGACGTGAACTTTGAGGAGCTAGCGCGGTCGACAGATGACTTCAATGGAGCTCAACTCAAGGCCGTCTGTGTAGAAGCCGGCATGCTTGCCCTGCGCCGCGATGCCACGGAGGTAATCGTCGTTATTGGCATTCAGTTTTTCTGTTTACCCCTCTCGCGTTGCTTTTCCTTAGTGGTCGATCATTCATCGTTCACTTTGATATGGCTTTTCGTATTACCTGGCCTCGTTATTACAACTTATGGTTGGTCTTTTGTATCCTTGCTCAATTGCAGGTGACGCACGAAGACTTCAATGAAGGAATCATTCAAGTGCAAGCGAAGAAGAAGGCTAGCCTCAACTACTACGCATAAATACAATACCATTGTCAAATCTTCAACACATTCTGTCTGGTACATAGTCGAAAATATATTTGGTGCTAATCTTTGTGCAATCACTACAGATTCATCTTGCGCCGCGTACACCAGATCCTGCGTGCCTCGTCCTGTCCTGTCAGAGACGGCCCGCGGCGCACAGCTGCCTAAAACTGAATCCGAGCCATTCTATGCTGTGTTCAAAAGTGCGTCCCATCCTTCCATCTATTTCTTGCCTCCGCTTCGCTGGAGCACGTTGCTTGCTCTGGAGCATGTTCTGTATTCCCCCTCATCACGTTTACTGCCACTGACGAGCATACTAGTGATACACCCTCGACTCACTATTGCACCTGTCAAGTCAAGCCTTTCGGTAGGCAGCCGAATCGACCGCCCAACTGCGCCATCTGATTCCCCTTGTCCGATCGCCGATCATCGCAAGCGTATTTGCCGAGATCAAGACGATCCGTTCGAATCCGACCTCCACGGAACATCACGTGTTTTGAGCCCTCTCAGAACACGGAACATCACTCGCGGCTCAGCACTACTAGTACTACTACCAGTAGTAGTAGTGGCGATGGGCGGGCCGGCCTTCGATCTCCTCGCGAATCCGCTGGGCGCGGTGCGCGTCCTCTTCGACCGCGAGGTCCATCGGATCCGCGCCGCCGCGCAAAGCGGCGGAATTAGCGGCGGGGATAGCGGCGGCGCGCAGGAGACGATGAAGCGGCAGCTGTCGGAGGGGGACTGGGGGGTTCGCGCGCTCGTTGACGAATACCTGTTCCGCGACGGGAACATCGACAAGGTAAAGAGCTTTCACGGGCTTCTTGCTCCTTGCTTATACGAAGCTGGCGGAGGGGGACTGGGGCGTGCTCGCGCTTGGACTGGGGTGTTGACGAATTCGTGTTCCGCGACGGGAACGTAGATAAGGTGAGAATTGAACGTCTAGGTGCATTGAACGCCTAGGTGCATTGAATGCCTAGGTGCATTGAACGCCTAGGTGCATTGAACGTCCAGGTGCATTGAACGCCTAGGTGCATTGAACGTCTAGGTGCATTGAACGTCTAGGTGCATTGAACGTAGAGGTGCATTGAACGTAGAGGTGCATTGAACGTAGAGGTGCATTGAACGTATAGGTGCATTGAACGTATAGGTGCATTGAACGTAGAGGTGCATTGAACGTATAGGTGCATTGAACGCCGGACCACAAATCTTTAGGGTCACTTCAAGAGTAGATCACAGGAGGCTTCAAGACGTGTCTTCCTCGCTCTTTAATCCCCCAGGTGCCCGAGATTAACTCGGTGCGCGCGATTACATGCCTGTGGGCTCGCGGAGGGAGTGCAACACATTACTCCTTGCATCTATTCTCTCCTTGCTCTTTAATACCCCAGGTGCCCCAGATTAACTCTCTGGGCGTGGGCTCCCTTATCGGCGTAGATAGACGACAAGACTCCTGACATCTAGTGTCTGCTTGCTCTTTGATTCCCCTTTAAATGCCCAGGTGCCGGAGATTAACTCCGTGGGCGTGGATCTCATACCTGTGGGCTCGCTTGTCAGATTTCGAGGCATGGTACGTCTCCTGTGTGCGCTCGTCTCCCTGCGTGCGCTGGTCGTCCCCTGCGTGCGTGAGGAGTCTATTTTTGAGGCGCCTCAAAAATAGACTCCCCTGCGTGCGCTTGTCGTTCTGGACTCCTTGGCCTTCTTTTTCGTTTATTGATTCCCCTCAGCTTGCACTAGCTCCTGTGACATTCTTTGCCTCGCTTTGAGATTTGACAGATCTGTGATTCTAACGAGGCATGCAACTCTGTTGAGATGTGCTTGTTGAGATGTGCTCGTTTTTTGCTTGGTCTGAGTTGTGGGTGCCGATTTTGATTTCTTTTACTTCAACATTGATTGTAAATGCATTCATCCCTGCAGGTACAGGACATGTGGGGCACGGAGTTCTACCAAGGCCTCTACAAACGAAGCAGAGCCTCCACCTCCTCTGCACCCTCTTCCTCCTCCGCCCCCCCCATTCCCCCCTGGCGCACCACCAAGTACACTGATGGGGACGGCGTGGGGGGAACGGGGGGAGATGGGGCGGAGGGGTTGGGGGGAGGGGGTTTGGGGATGAGGGGCGAGAGGGAGGAAATGGCGGCAGATTTTAGCAGTATCTGGGAGAGGCGGCTGCTGTACTGTGTGCCTGTGAGTCCCAGTGAAGGATTTTTTTAGTCCTTTCACTGCAGCTACAATTCTCCTTATAAGAACATTCGCTGGTGTAGACTCCTGCTACTTGTGTTTTGTTATCCCCTAGAGTACTATATAGTGTGCCTGCCAACACCCCCTGTTTCGTCCCTCCCCTCTCCCCATTCCCTCCTCCTCCTCGCTTTCTCTGTAACTTTCCCCCCCCCTCCTCCCCCCCCCCCACACCCCCCACCCCCTTCTCCCTGCATTTCCCCCCAGGTGCCAGGGGAACAGCCATGGGCGCGTGCTCTAAGGGACGGGGGGAGCGAGGGGAGGGGGAACGGTGGGAGGAGGGAGGGAGGAAGCGGAGGGGAGGAGGGCAGTGGGGCGGAGAAGAGGGGCAGAGAGGAAGCGCGGGGAGATGCCATGGTGGTCCTCCCTTTCTGCTCCTGTCAATCCAACCCTGTCAATCCAACCCTGTCTTTCTGCTCTGACCATGTCTTATAGTGTGTTACTTGAACGTTTTTCCCTCCACTGGCTCACATTTCTGCCGCCGTCGATTGGCAATTCTGTTGAGCGTCGCAACTGCCCGTCCGAAGCCCGGCATTGTTCGGCCAAGAAGGACCCTCGTTTTGTGACCATATCATATCAAATCAATGTCCTCCCCCCCTCCCTCCTGTTCCTCTACGCTGCCTGTTACATCCGCTCCGCACATCGGTGCTGTGATGACTGCAGTGCGTGGACGTTGAAGGAAGCACAGCCCCCAATGCAGAGTCCGAGTCAAAGAGACTGGTACGGCCGCCCCCTGCAAGGAAAGGCGCAGATAAGGGCAAGGCATGTGAATGGGTGTCGGGATACGGAACGTGGGTGACTGATTCGGAATGGAGGGAGGAGGTGGGGGATGGGGAACTGCTTATCCATCGAAATATCGCTGATCTGCGTACTGTCCTATTCCTGGAGCTTCCTTTTCCTCCTTCCCCATCCTCTTCCCGTTTCTTTTTCTCTCTCTCTCTCTGTCCCTGCATACTGACCGCCCATTTTCCGTCAGGCCACCACCACAACTACCAACAGTGCAGCCAGCACAGCCACAGCACCTGCCAACGTCAGCAGCAGCAGCCCACAATCCGGCAGCACTGCTGCTGGAGAGTCTCCTCCATTCGTGGACTTGCACTTCCCCCTCGGCGCCTCCTCTGCCTCTCCCCATGGGCGACCGCTGCTGCCCTGCATTGTGAAGGTCAGCCGCTTTTGCCCAGTGCTGGAGTGAACCGCTATTGCCAAGTTGAATGGCGTGTGCTCACAATGCATTGTCTCTAAACGTTTACATTCTAGCAACAAGGTTGCAGAATGGTGAAACTGCACTCCCCGTGCATGCATGTGTGCGCCCATGTCTCCCCATGCATACATGTGTACGCCCATGTCTCCCCATGCATGCATGTGTGCGCCCATGTCTCCCCATGCATGCATGTCCCTACCAGCTGTACGACAGTGTGGAGTGGCAGGTGAAGCTGAATCAGGTGCTGGAGCTCGTTCGGGTGATCGCCCGCCATCCCCTCTCCTCTCCGCTCCATGTGCCCCCGTTCTCTCGCCTCCTTCCTCCCCCATGCACGCCCCTTCCAGCTGTACGACAGTGGGAAGTGGCAGGTGAAGTTCAACCAGGCGGTGGAGTTGGTGGGTGTGAGATCCCCGCCATCCGCTCCCCTCACCGCTCCATGTGCCCCCCTACTCTCTCCCGTGCACGCCCGTTCTCTCTCTTCCTTCCTCCCCCATGCACGCCCCTGTCAGCCGTACGACAGCGTGGAATACCAAATGAAGCTAAACCAGGTGCTGGAGTTCGTTGGTACGGGCTGTTGCACCTCTGTCACCCGCTCATTCATTCATGTGCCATCTCTCTGCTTGCATTTGCCCCTCTACCCATACACTTCGCATGCGTACATCCACCTATCAGCTGTACGACAGCGTGGAGTCCCAAGTGAAGCTCAACCAGGTGCTGGAGTTCGTCGGGGTCGTCGCCCCACCCTCAGCTCCTGCCGTGCATGCACCCACCGCAGTGCCGCACGCACCAGATGACAGCAACGACCGAGACAAAGGGATGGGCACGGGCACCGGCACAGGGGTGGGCACAGGCACAGGCACAGGCACAGGCACAGGCATGGGCAGTGACGACAATGCAGGTGGTGCAATGGCGGTGGGGATGGAGGTGGAAGGGGAATTGGGCCTGGGAGGGGGGCCGTCTGCCTGCCTCCCCAGCAGCCAGGTGCTGCGCCTGCACTGCCTCACCTGGAGGCAGCTGCCCGACCCCTTCCTGCCGTTCACTGAGCCGACTGTAGCAGTGAGTACTGCTTGGCTTGGATCACAGCATGGGAGTGCGGCTTCTAGGTTTGTCCATCAGTCAGTCCGTCCAAGATAGCGTCCTGCCTGTTCTCTTCCTTGTTTCCGCCCACCTCTCTTTCCTCCTCTTATCTTTACTCGACCTCGTTCTCCTCCTATTGCTATCCTTCTCTTCTCTCCCCTCCCCCACATCCCCCGGCCAGTCAGCACCCACCATCCGCGCATCGCTGCTGCCGCGGCTGACCGCTGTGTTGGGCGGCGACAGGCTGGCGGCAGAGTACTTGCTGCTGCACCTGCTGTCGCGGGTGCGTGTGACATGGTTGCACGTAGCATGTGCTATATGATATGATCGGATATGATACACGCATGACAGGTTGGCAGCAGAGCACCTGCTGCTGCACCTGCTGTCCCGGGTAGGTTCAGCGTGACATGATATGATCGGATATATGATACAACACGTGATGCTCACTGGTGACAGGCTGGCGGGAGAATACATGGGGCTGCACCTGCTCTCACGGGCATGGATGGGCGTGGCAAGACATGGGATATGATATTGTATGGTAGGATTCTGATACGATATGTGATGTGATTTTACATATATCACATCAGATCCTGCGGCATAACCTCAGCAATGGTCAATCGTCTCCTATCTTTCCCTACGTTCCCATGTGCACATGCACGCGTGAGTCTGCATGTGTGCATGTCTGCATGTGTGCATGTCTGCATGTCTGCATGTCTGCATGTCTGCATGTGTGCATGTCTGCATGTCTGCATGTCTGCATGTGTGCATGTGTGCATGTCTGCATGTCTGCATGTGTGCATGTGTGCATGTCTGCATGTGTGCATGTCTGCATGTGTGCATGTGTGCATGTCTGCATGTGTGCATGTGTGCATGTCTGCATGTCTGCATGTGTGCATGTCTGCATGTCTGCATGTGTGCATGTGTGCATGTGTGCATGTCTGCATGTCTGCATGTGTGCATGTCTGCATGTGTGCATGTCTGCATGTGTGCATGTCTGCATGTGTGCATGTGTCTGTTTGGGGAATTCTGTGTGCATGCTTGTTTGCATGCATCTATGCATGTGTGCAATTCTTGGTAAATGCGTGTCTGCATGCCTCCATGCATGTATGCATGGGTTAGGTGCACACTCGCATAGAGCCTATGCCTCTCGGCAAGCTCTCCCTCAACCTTTCCGGCTTCCCAGAACCTTCCTCCCCCTCCACCACCTTCCACCCCTCCTCCGCTCTCTCCCCCCCTCACCCCCCACCTCCCATCTCCTCCTCCCCTCCCTCTCTCTCCCAAGCCGCATCCCCCTCCCTCCCCACCCTCACCTCCTCCCTCCAAACCCTCCTCCCAGCCACCCACACTCTCCCCCTCTCCCTCGACACTCTTAACTCGCGCCGCCTCGCCCCCCACAAGGACTATACCTCCGACAGACTAGTCTCCGGGGTGCTGCAGCTGCCAGCTGGCACGCACCTAACTATTGACGAGACGGCTTTAAAGCCCGGGAGAGTGACGGCGCTAGGGAGCCAGAACCTGCAGGCACTTAAAGAGCTATTGGAGTGGCAGAAGGTGGACTACGACTTTCAATACTATAAGATGGACATGCCAAGTGACATACCTGTGCTTATTCTCTCTCATGCCACGTCACGCCTCCTGCCTGCTGACGTCAGCATGCCTGTGCGGTGCACGGCGCCACCTCAGCCTGTCAGAGTGGATGAGTCGGAGGTCGCCACGTGGCGGCGGTACATCGGCTGCTGCCGCCTGCTGGAGCATGAGATCAAGGACGGCATGCGCGAGGTGAGTGAGCTGTGTCGTCCACGTGTGTGAGTGAGTGTGGCGTGAGTGTGGTCTTTGAGTGTGGGCACAGTGTGACATGTGCGGTATGGCTGTCACTGTGCTGTGCTGTATCTGTATGAGTATATGACCACTTCACAAATGTTACCTTCCCCGCACACCACCTGTGCTGGCAGGAGGTGGAGAGAGAGCTTGTGGCAGCTCGACAGGTGGACCCCTCACTGGACTCTGACACCTTCCATAGGTGAAAAATAGTTTACTGTGTTCGCTCGGGGGGACTTCCCTTCCCCATGCTCTATGCTCTGTCTTAGGTGCCTTTGTGTCCGTTGCGGCTTCCACATGTCTGATTCGGCCTTTTTGTGTCTGGTGCTGAAGTCTGATTCGGCTCTTTTTGTGGGTGTGGGCACGTACAAATGCAGGTGGCTCACTTTGGCTCGACTGATGGCGGCTAGCTTTGGAGAGAGGGAGCTCTCAAGGGAGAGGTGGCAGGCTGTGCGGGACTTGGAAAGAGCTAGAGAGGCTCGCAACCGGGTGGTGTAGCCGGATGTGAAGTATTCGCTGCGTTGTGCTTCGGGACGAGATGGTACATGACACAGATATGTGTTTGGGTGCATTAGAATGCCGTTGCTATGTGGTGGAAGACATTTGGTTGGGAGAAATCGAGTGCTGGGCAATTTCAGTCCAGCCATCTATGAACAAGGTTGAATCACGATGTCATGGAGGTGCTGGCCCCACCAGCAGGCTGACTACAGCTATCACCTCGATACGCATGGAACTAGTATGGGAGGAAGTGCATGAAATAGAATGATAACTTTAACAATTCCGATAAGTTTGCAATCTCAGACGGCTAATCACCGCGTCCTCGTGGCGAGAACCGGCGCGTACTGTGCCGCACCGGTCAAGCCGACCTGGCATCGCATCGCATGACATGAACGACCAATCAGGGGACGGAGAACAAACGAGGCAGGATCGCCGTCACGTCAAAGGCACTGGCTGTGGTCAGCCTGCCAGACGCAGCGGATATTTCCTCGGGATTCGTTCTGCTCCCTCGATTCTGTTCAGGCCTCTCGATGTCCCCGAAGGGCCCCCTGCAGAATCCGAGTTAGTCGCGCAACCAACTCGTCCAAGCTTGGTAACCAAAAAAAATGTTGACTGTTTTTGCTAGGCAGTTTTGGGGGTTTCTCGGCATGTGCAGGGTTTCATGGTCGCGCTCACTTCTTTGAAGAGCACTGAACTTTCCCTTGACCAATTTCATCTACAAGTCCTCGCATGTTATTATAAGCCAATTTGTGCTATTAAAAAAGCCCAAACGATTGACTACAAGTGCAACCGTCACTTCACCAATTGATTGCCGACTACAAAAAAATACGCCCTACCCACAGACACAAATGCATATGGAGCACAGAGGCGTGGTCTAGGAAAACACGTTTTCCCCAACCAAACCTCTTTGGGGAAACGAGCTTGGCTGAGGGAGGCTTGGTTGGGGGAACGAGTTTGGTTGAGAGAGGCTTCATTGAGGGGAACATGTTTGGATGAGAGAGGCTCGGTTGGGGGAAATGAGTTTGGTTCAGAGTGGCTTGGTTGGGGGAAACGAGTTTGAGTTAGAGAGGCTTGGTCGGGGAAGCTGCAACATCCAATCAGGGTGTGGCGCGCTTGCCGAAATCCCAAAGGCCCACTTGGGATTTCGGGAGCGTTTTTGCCCGAATCTCTCCCTCAACGGGGAAGAGGGGTTTCTAGCTGGGTAACCAGACCTTACAGACGGATGTTACAGAGCGATACATTCCACTATTCGGAAATCGGACGCGGAATGTTGTTGCCTAGTCTGCTAGTGGACGTGTATTTCAAATCTGGATGCGTAGAAATCAGGGTAGTACACAAACATTACCCTGTTTTCCTTGAGTAATCAGGATAATTACCCGGATATCGAGAGGCCTGATTCCGTTCCGTCCTCCCCTCCATTCCTCGGATTCTCCAGATCCGCCATACGGACGACGTGCGATAATCGCCGAGTTCCTGTCACCATTCATCGGGTTCTCTCACCGTCCCTCGGCTGTATCGGGGCCCTCGATCTCGACCAGGGCTTATGTTTGGTTTTTGAACAGCTCTGACGCTCAGAGCTCCCTTCAAAATTCACCCTGAAAACCCAGGGTCCGAAGCTATACTGCTCTGTTTTTTCAGGGCCAGCCAGAAAAATGCTCGGCGAGCGCCATTTCCACGGATTTTACTTGAGGTTGTTCCAGGCTCTGCGTCACATTGGATTCGCGTCAGTTCTAGGGGTATGAGGGGAGTACTCCTTCCCAACAAGTTGCCTGGTAGGCAGGTCCTAGAAGAGTGACGGGTATTAGGAGTGTGCGAGATAAGGGGTGAGGGGAGGGAGGGGCGCCGGGGGAGGGAGGGTGCAAGTAGTGGAAAAATCAGGGTTACCTGAAAACCTTCTCGGAGTTTCCAGGGTGGCCTGACGATCTTCCCGGATTCTGTCTGGGCTTGGTGAAAAATAGCCCGGAGGAAATCAGGGCTGGTCTGAAAACTACCTTAGAATTTCAGTCAAGTCAGGGCAAATGCCCTGATAACATAAGCCCTGATCTCGACCCGCCATGGGAACTCGCGAGCCGCGACTGATCGTTTTGAGACGGCAGGCTCGACGCTCATCGCTCCCTCGCGCTCCACGAAGCATCGGCCAGACCCGATCGGGCGTTCCCTTATGCGCTGCGACTTCCAGACTGGAACGCGCTTGGAGCCGATTTTTGACTCGTCGACTGAAGATAGAAAGAGTTTTAGAGTCACCTGGCATGAGTCCTTGAGCTCTCCCCTATAACGCGGAGGCGAAAATCACGAAATCATGTATTACCCCGACGTCGCTTAGTAGTAACCCCTATGGACTCGCCCTGTTTCTCGCGATCGCACAGCGCCAACAACGCTAGCAGCACCCGCACCAGCGACGGTGGCGGCGGCGGCGGCGGCGGCGGCGGAGGTGTGAAAAGGCGCAAATGGAACAACCTCGCCCTTTCCCCCTTCCTCCCGCCCTCTCTCCTGTTTCCCGAAAGCCCGGCCGGTAGCACGAGAGACTTCAGAGACGGCGCCTTAACCGGCGGTTTTTGCGGCGGCAGCAGCGGCGGCGCCGCGAGTGTCACTTCCAGTCCGCCAATCGAATCAGTGGCGACTCGGAGGCACCACCGAGGCTCTGCGAGGTTTCTGGATCAACTCTTCAGCCCGCTCAAACCGGCCGTCCGATTCGTTCGATCCAACGGTCCGCAGTCGCTGCAGCTGTTCGAGTCGGCCGGGCAGCACGAGCCCTCCCCGACGCCGAAATACGTCCAATGGCCACCGCCCTGCGACGCGCGTGCGTCGCACGCGTCGCCACACGCCCGCCACGAGTACTTTCGCCAGCAACTGTCGTCGCCGGGTCCCGCGCTGAGCCACCCTCCGAGAACGACTCATTCCGCCGCGGCAGCCCCCCCCGCAGATCCCGCTACCGACTCGCCTGGTGCTGCTCCCGAGGCTGGAGGGAATCCCGCGCCGGGCGAGGCTAGAGGCGAGGCGCTCACAGATCTGACGCTTGCCGGGTCGCTCACTCATGCGACGCTCGCCGGGTCGCTCACCGATGCGACGCTCGGGGGGTCGCAGCGACCCGCGGCGACGATCGCGCAGCTGATGCTCATCCGCGCGTGCCACGGCGACGCGCTCCGCCGCCACGGCCTGGGCACCGCGCTGGGCTTGCGCACGCGGAACGGGATCCTGACAGACATTCCCGCTATAATCGTCTTCGTTCCGCGCAAGATGCACGAGCGGTGGCTGCTGCCGGCCCAGAAGCTTCCGAACAAGCTGCAGGGGCCGGGCGGGCTCGAGTGTGACGTGGACGTGGTGGAATTGACCAATCAGAGCAGCGGCGGCAGCAGCGGTAGCAGCCCGGGGATGGCTGGTCACGCCATGGCGGGTGTGGCGGGTGCCATGGGGGTAGAGGCGCAGCTAGTTAATAACACGGCGCTGGTGGAAAAGCTTCGTGGGAATAGCAGTAAGATCGGGCCGGGATCGCAGGTTGCGAGTGAGGAGAGGTATGGAACGCTGGGAGCTATCGTAAGGACGGCCAACGGTGTTCCTGGGATGAGCAGCCCTCCTGGGGTTGGGTTCCTGACGAACCGCCACGTGGCAGTGGATTTGAACCAGCCGAAGCAGAAAATGTTTCATCCGATGCCCACGTCGCTTGGTCCGGGAAAGTTTCTTGGTTTGGTGAAACGGGCCTCGTCGTTTGCCTCGGATCACGCGTGGTATGGCGTGTTCGCCAACCAAAACGCAGGTGTCGTATGCCGTTCGTGGTACCAGGTTATCCTGTAAGGCTTCTGGCACGCACCAGGATTCCTCTTCAATTTTTTTTTCTCCCTCTCACTTCCCCCATCCCTCCTCCCCCTCACCCCCCCCTGTTTCTCCTTACACATATTTCCTCATCCGAACAAACCCCATTACCCCTCTCCCATCCTCCCACGTTCTCTTCGTACCTGTTACAAGCAGACTCGTTTGTGCGCACGGACGGCGCGTACATCCCCTTCCACGAGGGGTTTGATCTGTCAGCAGTGACGACAGAAGTGGCGGGAATTGGCCCCATTGGCCGGCCCCGCCGCATCAGCCTGTCAGACGATGTTTCCAGTGTGGTGGGACAGCACGTATGGAAGGTGCGTGGAAGGCGCGATGGAGGGTGTTTAGAAGGTGCTCGGAAGGTTCTTGGAAGGTGTATGGATAGGAGCAATGCAAGGGTGACGAGAGGGGCAAGACGTTCTTCACCCAAACAACCACCCATCCTTTTCTCACCTCTGCCTCCTCTCTCTCCTCTCGCTCCTCTCTCTCCCGTCTCGCGCCTCTCCTCTCAGGTGGGCAGCAGTTCGGGTCTGACCCAGGGCACCATAGTGGCCTACGCAGTGGAGGGCGACGACCAGAGGGGCAACACTCTCTTCACAGACCTCCTCATAGTGGGCCGTGATGGCCACCCGTTTGACTCGGAGGGTGACTCGGGCGCGCTTGTGCTCATGCGCCCCTGTGCTGTACCCCACCCGCCGCCTCCTTTTCCTGACCCGCCCTCTGCATCCATTCCGTCCGCCCATCCTCCCATACCCTCGGCACCGGCACCAGCACCAGCAGCAGCGGCGGCGGCCGCAGCAGGAGCAGCAGCAGCAGCAGCAGTGTTGCTTTTGCCAGTTGCCATGGTGTGGGGTGGGACGGCAAGCAGAGGCGGGCTGAAGCTGGGGAGCGGCAGTGGGGGGCAGCAGTGCACCAGTGCGGTTGACCTACACAGACTGCTGTCGCTGCTGGGCCTGGAGATGCTTAACACTGATGGGGAATTGAGAGGTCAGATGGTTCTGATTTCGGATGGTTACTTGCATTTTACTTCCTTCGATTTCAGATTGATTTAATCTATTACTGATCTAATTGTTACAACTTTGTATCCTCACATTCCACCTAACTGTTGAATCCGCTATTCGTTGTGCAGAGCTCGCTCAACGACAAAGATTGCTAGCCGCAGCCGGTAGCACTCCTCGCACTCGTGGGGGGGGTGCTGGTGGTGATGCTGAGTGTACCCCTGCCACCGCTGCTACTCCTGCTGCTGCTGCTGCTGCTGCTGACAATGCTGCTTCAGCTGGTGCTTCTGGTTCTGCTCGTTTCGCCCACACACACTCCCGAACAACCACGCAGACCCCAATGACCACATACACTCCTTCGGCATCCTTTTCTCCTTCCCCTTCCCCATCCGCCTCTCTTTCAGCATCGTCTATGGAAAACTCCCCCTCCCCCTCCGCCACTCCCCCCTTCTCCCCCTCCCCCTCTCCCTCTCCCTCCCCCTCCCCCTCCCCCTCCCCCATGCCCCTTGCCCACCTAGCCCCTCCCACCTTGCCTGTTTCAAGAACGGGGAAGGGGGATAGACTGCCGTCAAGGGAGTTGGAAGGGGGTAGAGAGGGAATGGTGGGGAGACAAGGGGAGGAGATAGAGGAACGAGGGATGAAAGAGGGCGGGAAAGGGAAGGAGAGAGAGGATGAGAGGGTCGGAAAGAGGCAATGAGTGGAAAGAGGAGAAAGACCTGGAGGCAAAAGAAGACAGGAGAGTGGGATAGAAGAGGGCAAAAGAGAGGATCAGGCGGAAAGGAATGAGAAGAGGGGTGAGGTAAGGCAAGAGGATTGACAAGTGGGCGTGCGGAGTGGGCGTACGGAGTGGTCCTATTGACCCTGGCGCTATCTCATGCAACTTACTAGCCTGTATACTAGCTCATATGGCACACGCTCTCAAATAGCTGAGGTGGGGCCTTGTTCTGGTGGGGTCTTGTTCTGATGACATGGCCTACTACAAGTTGATGTTCACCAGGGCTCAAAATTGGTTTAGGGGCACCCTTAGTAATCAGTGTACCTAAAAAAAATTACCCTGTCTCTTAGATTAGAATTTCGTCACCCTTTGAAAATCAGGGTAAATCTGTAAAAAATTATGAGTACCCTGAATGTTAAGGGTGCTAAAAGTATCACCCTGTCCACTGCACAGTAACCTGTAATTTTCCAGCTTTCTTAGCGTGTGTGAGGGACATTATCGGTCCTTCACTAAAATCACACAGGAAGTCAGAGGTGAGCTGGAGCACATGTGAGGGCGTGGTACATGGATTCCGCTTTGCGCCGAGACAGCAACCCGGGTTGCGCCACTGGCGAAATAATCCAACTAATTTCAGTCCAGCCCATCTTTCACATGTCGTGCGAGGTTCAACGCCCTCGGTAACCAGACAGGATTGCACAACCTCGATTAGTTGCGCAACCCATGTACCGAGCGTAACTGCCCCTTAAAGCCCGTGGCTAAAATAGCAGACCCTGATGCCACGTGAATTTTCAGGTGCTGAATATTGGTGAAGTATAGAAACATCCAAAATCTGTTTCCGAACAAGAGCGTTCCATTTCGTGCGTGGAAACAAAATGAAAAACACTCAAAGCTTTTGATTGGTCCAGACCGAAAACGAACAACCATGCTGTGCGTTACGACACGGTGATTTTTGTGCGAGACGCAAGTGACAATGTGCGGATCGCCTACACCCATGCGACGTTCACTCGGTGATTTTAGGGGAGGGGAGCGAGTCGAGGGAAAAAGGGCGCAAAGCGACCGTGGAAATCAAGTGGTTTCCAGGTCTGCAACTCCTGATTCAAGCGCCCCCAGCAAATCGACGAGCCGAAACCAACACGACTAGCGCAATTCTGCTACCATAGCACAAGCACACAGAATCGACTTCGGCATAACAGCTTAGAGCAGCAACGCGTGCCACGATTACAGACGGGGGAACCAGCCACGGCAACTAGGGGAGACGAAAACGAGGTGTGTGGACAGACCTATGCGGGAGTGTATGCAAGCCACTTTACCCAATTAGCTGCCAAATGCAAGCCTCCAAATGCAGCCCAGGCCCATGCGACTCCCAACCGTCAACGTACGAGAGTCGCATACGCTCACGCCAGGGAGTCTCACACATACGATCACTTGACAGGACAGGGCAGGGCAGGACAGGGCAGGACAGGACAGAACAGGACAGGACAGGATAGGAAAGGACAGGACAGGACAGAACAGGACAGGACAGGACAGGACAGGACAGGACAGGACAGGACAGGACAGGACAGGACAGGGCAGGGCAGGACAGGACAAGGCACGACAGGACAGGGCAGGACAGGGCAGGGCAGGAAAGGACAGGACAAGACCAGACAGGAGAGGACAGGACAGGACAGGAGAGGACAGGACAGGGCAGGGCAAGGCAGGACGGGGCAGGGCAGGACAGGACAGGGCAGGACAGGGCAGGGAAGGACAGGACAGGACAGGATAGGACAGGGCAGGGCAGGGCAGGGCAAGGCAGGACGGGGCAGGGCAGGGCAGGACAGGACAGGACAGGACAGGACAGGACAGGACAGGACAGGACAGGATAGGACAGGACAGGACCACACAGGAGAGGACAGGACAGGACAGGACAGGACAGGGCAGGACAGGGCAGGGCAGGACAGGGCAGGGCAGGGCAGGGCAGGGCAGGGCAGGGCAGGGCAGTACAGGGCCGGGCAGGACAGGGCAGGAAAGGGAAGGACAGGGCAGGGCAGGACAGGACAGGACAGGACGGGGCAGGACAGGGCAGGGCAGGGCAGGGCAGGGCAGGGCAGGGCAGGACAGGGCGGGACAGGGCAGGGCAGGGCACGACAGGGCAGGGCAGGACAGGACAGGACAGGACAGGACGGGGCAGGGCAGGACAGGCCAGGGCAGGGCAGGGCAGGACAGGAAAGGACGGGGCAGGACAGGGCAGGGCAGGACAGGGCAGGGCAGGACAGGGCAGGGCAGGGCAGGGCAGGACAGGGCAGGGCAGGGCAGGGCAGGACAGGGCAGGGCAGGACAGGACAGGGCTGGACAGGGCAGGGCAGGACAGGGCAGGGCAGGACAGGGCAGGACAGGGCAGGGCAGGACGGGGCAGGACAGGGCAGGGCAGGACGGGGCAGGACAGGGCAGGGCAGGGCAGGGCAGGGCAGGGCAGGACAGGACAGGGCAGGACAGGACAGGGCAGGGCAGGACAGGGCAGGGCAGGACAGGGCAGGGCAGGGCAGGGCAGGACAGGACAGGACGGGGCAGGGCAGGACAAGACAGGACGGGGCAGGACAGGGCAGGGCAGGACGGGGCAGGACAGGGCAGGGCAGGACAGGACAGGGCAGGACAGGGCAGGACTGGACAGGACAGGGCAGGGCAGGGCAAGGCAGGGCAGGACAGGGCAGGACAGGACAGGGCAGGGCAGGACAGGGCAGGACAGGACAGAACAGGACAGGACAGGACAGGATAGGACAGGACAGGACAGGACAGGACAGGACAGGACAGGACAGGACAGGACAGGACAGGACAGGACAGGACAGGACAGGATAGGACAGGACAGGACAGGACAGGACAGGACAGGACAGGACAGGACAGGACAGGACA